CGAAGCTTGCATGCAAGTAATCATTGCATTGTGAATCCAGCAAAAATGTAAGACCAATGGTGCAATCGAAGCTTGCATGTAGGAGGTTATTGCCATGTGTACCAACATATCATATAGGATTCTATTTTCTTATGGGTCGAAGGAGGCACAAAGGATGGATCAAAGAAGGCATAAAGGAGACCATAGCCTAATCGAAGCAAGGGAAATCGAAGAAAGCTTGCAGAAGACCAAAATCCAATCGAAACCTTGTGAATCGAAGTAAACTTATTTTTTTTCCTCCAATTTTGTCAAAAAGATTATTTTTATCTGCTTTTCCCATTTTTTTTAACAGTTTCCTCTTTAACTTGACACTGGAAAATCCAATTGTACTTGTGTAAGTTTGAATTTTTGAGAATCCTTGTGAGAAATGCCTTGAGAAAAGAGAGGGCAAATTTTAGGGTACAACAGTAGGTATCTCTATCCATTGGATGTGAAGCGACATGCTTAGGGTCATCATATGGTCATCGAAGGCAACAAGTAAGGATACTTTAGCAATTGTATCGAAGGGACTATCATCATATTATTTGTAAGGTCATCGAGGGACTAGATCATTTTTTCGTAGGAAGCTTGAGGGGCATCGAGGGACTATGATCTTTTGTATTGTAGGGACTGTGATTATTTGATCGAGGGTCTTTAGCTAAAGTATCCCAACTTTCGAGGGATGTGACCAATATTTGTAAGGCGATAAAAGAGGATCCCCTAGAGGTGCAAGTGTGAAGAGTGTATTATTTTCAGTTTATTTTATCTTGAGAATTAGGGTTTTCTATGTTCAATTATTAGTCTTGTCATATAAACCCTAGTTACTAGCAGTTAAATATGTATAGAAAAATAAAATGCATAATGAAAAGTGCGGAAAATTAATCCTAAGCTATTACATCCTGTGAGAAGTTACATAATAGAAAAAAATGCGGAAAATAAATCTACGCTATTACAATAGAAAGTGAGTCTTATACATTTGATCTATGAAGATAAATAAAAGAAATAATAAAAATGCTTTGAGAAAAGTTTGAAAGACCTAAAATTCTAAGTATTGGTATTTTGGTATTTTATGGAAAAATAATTTAAATGATAATAATTAATAAAACCCTAAATACTAATGTATTTTAATATTTAAGAAAATGTTAATTAATTAATTAATTTAGTAAAATAAAAAATACTAACTAAAAGCCTAATCCTAATTTATTAGTGTTAAGGAAAAAATTAGGTTACTTTAATTAATAATTAGTTAAAATAATTAGGGTTAGAAAAGAGGAAATTAGGTTAAAAAATAAAGGTTAAAAGGATTTGCATGGGGTGGGTGTTGAGCCCACGCCCTCCTGACTTCACACGGCATCGCTTGCCACTAGACCAAGCGCTTGTTGATGTCTGGAAACAGGAATTGAACAATACATAGGAAACTTGCGCGTTAGTTTAAAAATAACAAAATAAATTGCAAAACACAGGGATTGAGCCCACTCCCTTAAAGTTACATGCCTTTGCCTTAACCAACTGCGATGCATTTCCATTCATTTAGGCAAAAACAAATCAATAAATATAGTATGAACAGGTTGACCAGAGAGGCACCAGAGCCCTAGCTCTGGTCGTCTTCTCCGGTGAGATCGTTTTGTACCCAGCAAAAATAGCATGTGTTAGGAATAAAGAAAGACCTTATCCCCCTAAATCGATCCTTACGAGTTCAACGGTGGCATTATTTTTGGCTAGTCCGGCCTACACAAGGAGATATGATGAAAACAGAGCAAAACGGTTCAATAATGGCGATGGACTATTCTGGCGTCATGGACCTCATGCAAGGGATCAAACCCGCGCTATTTTGTCTCGGGAACATGTTAAAGTTGTTAGTTTACATCAAAGCATCATAAAAATCAAAGCATGAATTTCACAAAATATGTAAACCGACGATGCATCATATGCATGTTTCAGGCATCTTTGATCATCAAGAATGGTCAAAACTTACCCTATGATACCTCGGGAATTGATTTGAATGGTTGGCTGGCCTTGAGGATGGCTGGATGATGGATTTCGAATTCACCCTCTTCCTTGAAAATTTCGACTTCACGACTCTTGTTTCTTGCGCAGCTTTTGTGTCCTTTTTTTGTCTGAATATGCAATGTACTTATAGGAGAAAAGACTAGGTTAAGAGGTGGGCTTGGACATCATGTGAAACATATCTTTGATTTTGTTTGAAAATAGATTGAAATCTTACAAAACCATGAAGATTTGGTTCAAGAATAGGTCTACGCGGTTTGTAGTGTGACCTTGGGCCTCCAAAATTTCTAGATCTCAAACCTTTTATGCTCTACACATTCACTTAATATTTATTTGATTTAATTTTGAATTTAAATGAATTAAAAAAATAAAATTAAAATTAAAATGATGCATGAATGGACTTAGAGGTCCATTATGAGGTCAAGAACACGTTTGGACTTTAAAATATAGGCCCATTGGTCAAAAAATTCAAGTTTGCTCGCATTGATCTTCATGCATTTTCTCAAAATTGTCCAACTTGCACAAATCATATCTTACTCAATTTTTATCATATGAAGGTGATCTTGGATTTTTTGGAAACCTCAAGATGTCTCCTACAACCTTTATGTTGGTTATTTTTTATTTGAAGCCTTTATCTTGATGTAAATTGATTTGACAAGAAGTGTCTTTTTGTTGACTTTTAAAATGACATGTAATGTTTTGGCCCATATCTCTCAAATGAAACATTTTTGGCCTTGAGCTTCGAGAGACAAAGTTGTAGAGAATTGAATTTCCTTTAAAATGATAATTTGGTTGAGAAATTTTTTATGAAGTATGTGAAAGTTATGCTTGGTCAAAGTTCAGTTGACTTCTCCTTAAGAAAACCTTAATTTAGTAACTTTTGACTTTTGATGAATCTTGAGTTTTCTTGATGAATCAGGATCAACCCTTGATAAAATTATGAATGTGACTTAAAAATGTTGATGTTGACCAAAAATATTGAAGTTTGACTGTAAATTGGTCAAAGTTGACTTTTTGCCCAATATAGTTGATTTTCAATTATCTGACTAATTGACTGAGCAAACTTATGTTGCAAGGCTTGGAATTTGGCATGAAGATTCTTTGAGACATATGAGAAACCATGAAATTCACTTGAGGCATTAGAAGTCAAATTTTCCTTGAGAGAAGCAAAACCCTAGTTGTAGGTCAATTGCTTAGGAGGAGAATTTGTCTGACCAAACCTTGAGTAGTCTTGAGCATTTGAGAATCCTAGAAGCATGAGGAGGTATCTTGAAAAATTGGAGGTAAAATTTTGGGGTACAACATTATTTAATCTTCTTCTTCCTTGAATGTTCGAAAGATTAGCGTCAATCTCACCTTCAGGTTTAAGACGATTAAATATGGGCAGCTGTAATACCCCAAATTTGTCCTACCCCTTTATGAGGATCACCTGGATTACGCGTCTTGCATTTTTTATATGCACATTATCCAATAGGTCATTTGGCATTACATGTATCAGTGGCCATGGAATCGAAGTTTTGAGTACCTTTAAGGGCTTATGTTCATTTGAAATTCTTGTGAATCATGAAGTGAGATGCTTAGGCTTGCACTTATCGTTGTAATTAGGGTTTATTTCTCTATTTTCATGAGGGGAGCAACAAATTAAGTATGTTTGGTTGGTTTCTTGGCATCTTGGGTTTTGTTCATCAGTGAAGTATAAATCGGTGGTCCTTTTTCTCAGGCTACTAGTTGTCACTTTGGCTATCATACAAGGGTTTGATATATACATGGTGTAGGGAAACACCTATTGAAATTGAAGCTCATGAGTTGGTGTTTTTATAATGGAAACAAGATAAAGTGGATCTCAAATTGAGAATGAAAATAAAATAGAAGTTACATTGCTTCTTGAAATACAAGTTTCCACAAAATCTGCACATTATAAAGAAGATCAGCTTGAACTTTTGAAGTTCATGGTGATGTTTTGTTTGCATTTTAACATGATTATATTATAAAGAAGATTTAAACTCCAATTTCATCACAAATATAATTCAAGGTTTACATCCAATATTCGATCAAAAGTCTGAGCATAATTGCATTTACAAGATGAATGTTGAAAACTACAAAGAGAATTACAAATTTTTGAATGATTAATCATTGATTTTCTAGGACTTGATTCTTAAACAAAGCTATTATTCTGATTCCACCGGCCCACCTCTTCATGGTTCTTCATGTTTAGCATGCATCCAAAGATCCTATATACTAGAGCAAAGTTGCTGCCTCATATCCTGTTCATAAAATCAGAAGAAACTGATATTCTATACATTCAAAATGTGAGCTTCAACAAGCAGCCTGCACCAAGCATCAAAATAGAGCACGTGTACCAAAACAATCGTATTTAGATTCGAACTGGCATCCAAAACAGTTCACAAAGATAATTCAAAACTAGTTCCACAGTAGCATAAAACCTACCAAAACCGTGTCTTACTGCACAAGAACTACGCATAGACCAGCTTCGCAACATAAACCAGTTCAAAATCCGTGCATTGCATCCTATCAAAACCAGTTCAAATTTTAATCAGAAAACAGAAAAATGGAGTGAAGCTTAAAACAACATAAACCATGTTCTCAGAACTACATTGCAAGGAGAAAACTTAGTTCAGCATAAAAGAGAGGGAACTATGAGTTTGAAACTCAGAAAATAAAAAAATATAAATAACTTATAATCGATGCTAGCTCAACCAATAACAGAAAAAACAGGATCCATGTCAAACTTCTAACCTCCTCAATCTAACCCCTTCAATCCTATAACATATTTTATCAATCCAAGGGCTGAGATCTTATTACATCTAACTAAATTTTCTAGATCTAACAGAAAGATAAAAACAAAAACTCACCTCAATTCATTCATTCTTCAACATTGGGAAGAATCACAACAAACTCCAGAAAATTTTAAATCCCTTTCTCTATGAAAATCACTTCAGTCTCCACTCTTCACAATGATCATCTTCATACACCTTCAATCCTCATTGACAACCTCAACCTCCATCTTTATCTTTTTTCAATCATCTTCTCAACAACAATCATACTCACCGCACAACCTCAATTTCCATCACGGAATCGCAGCCTCTTCAGTCATCTTCATCATGCAGTCATCAACATGGAAACCGCATCACAACACTTCTTTGTATTCACAACAACTACAGAAACACAACAATTGCGTCAATGCAACGAAAATGCACCAATCGAAAAAGCGAAAAGAAGAGCAAAAACTCAGAAGCAACAATAGAAGAAGTTTGAAGAAGAGAAGTGATAAGATCATAAGCAAACTAAAAGACTTGTGTATACCTTAATCGAAATGATCTCTGAGTCCTCTTAACAAATTTAAATCATCATTGGAGCGTCTCCGATCAGCAAGGTTCTTTCACTCGTTTCTGCGTTATACTTTCGCACTTGTTTGTGTGTTCGTATTAGAGAAACAAGCTTGAAGCAGCGAAAATCGACGGAGGAGCAAAGTGGGTTTAAGGAGTATCACGGTGATAAGTATTGAATGAAGAAGAAGATCAAATCTTCGCAAAAGCAAGAAATATGAAAAACGTAGAAACAGAAGGAGAAGAAGGAGTTGTGCCTGAAATCCTCATCGGTTTTTACATCGTCTTCGCCTCCTCGACGATGCAACGAACTCGTCTCCGACCATTGTGACAGAATCAGAATAGAGATGATGACAGAAACAAAGTAGAGCATGACAAAGGTGATGATCTGTGATGAAAGGAAAGTTGAGTCGTCTAGAGAAAAATGCGATGGAGGTGGTGCGGAAGACCGACTGCGGGATAGACTTGAGTGAAACGGTGAGCATCCATTGTCAACGGAAGAAGAATCGATCAGAGTGAAGGTAAGTCTGAAGAGAGGCACCGCGTTGTTTACGAGAGAGATGAAGAAATTCTGTTTCTCGATTGAAGTCCAACAGCCACAAATAATAACCCTAATCCCTTTTCGATTTTTAGTTTAATTCTTTTTTTAAACTATTATTTGTTTTTTTATCTTAATAAGTTGAATAAAGGATGGTGGACTGGAAGATGGATTGAACATGTTGGACTTGGTCATGTTGGCTTGACCAAAATGCAGCCATAGGCCCATGCAATTTTTGGCATAGCACAAAGGTTGTACACAAAAAGCTATTATTGGATTAGGTTCAATTTGGGCTTAATACCTATTCAGCTGCTTGCAGCATACACCATGATCCAGGCCTTGCACCCCCCCATACTCCTATTTTCTTTGTTTGATTTAGGATTTTTTCCTTTTAATTTTTCTTGACATGAAAAATTATAAAATCAATAAAAAATGGTAGAATACAATAGAATTTTTCTAGAATCTCTTTAGGTTTTTTTTAATAGAATTTCCTCACATAAAAAACTAATAAAAATACTTTTTTATTTTAGTTTTTTTTTCATATTTTACACCGTTGTGTCTCGTTACTTTTGACGCGTTTGTTCACTGTGCAAGGTATATTTTGGTGTTTTCGATCATGTAACAATAATAAGTTGTTATGTGATCGAAGCATGTGGTTTATACTCGCTTCTGATGCGACATGCCTTATTTCTCATCGTCCTGAGAAATTCATATCATATTATATGTTATTCTGATGCATGTGATATTTTATGATATTTTGTGCAGGAACTTCTGATTATGCATTGCATTCGCAACATGTGTTTGCTTTTATCTTAGTTGAATATCGTTTCTGACTTTGTTTGTTCTTGGTGAAGCTTTCTCGATGCATGCTCCTTGCTTCTCCATTGCTTTCGTCCGCTCTTGACGACCCGCTTACTTTTGGTAGTCGTTGCTAATGCTTTTATATTTTTCGAACCTTTATTGCATTTCTTTACCGATTTTCTAGATATCATGAGAGGTAGGAAATAAAGAGCGTGCACTCGAAGTTGCTGTTTAAAGTTCTGTAACAGACACCACTTTCTGTATGCTATTTGTGTTTGTTTAAAACCCTACCTTTGAAGTAGGTATTCCACACATGTGTTTACATTTGTGCCTGCATTATTCCCTCATCTCCCATGGAAGTCCTCAAAAAGGAGGCGAGCAGAAAGAGTTAGCAATCAATCCCCGTAATTTCGTCTGGTCATCCTTAGCTCGCAATGCACTACGACGCTTCAAAATTATGCAGATCTTGTGTATCGAGTCATCAAGTGGAAAAGGGTTTTGCAACCAATCCCCCACGCTTTGCTAGGATTTTGCATTGGCCAATGCAGAACTTCGTGATTGTTCATATTGCCTTTTGTCTCCTACCTCAATCTTTTTTATCTTGGTTGGGTGTTCAGTCGCTTTGGACATCACGTTTTTGTTTTACGTTCTACTTCTGCTTGTTTGCTTCGGGTGATCCGCTCCCCTTAGCTAAAGCATTTCTCTTCTTTTATATTTCACTCCCGCTTGTTTGTCTCGGGTGATCTGCTCCCCTTGACTAAAGCATTTCGCTTCTTTTCTTTACCATTTCATGTGTGTTCTCTTTCGAGCTTGTCTGCTTACTCGCTTTCTATACCATGTTCCCTTAGGATGTGCTTGTTTCTTTCGGATGCAAGTTAGACTTTAGGTTACGAACCATGCATGATAATGTCAGGTAGAGATTTTTCTTTTGTTCATCCAAACCTTAGGACCACCATTGTATGATAACATTAGGATTAGTAATAGGCTAGTCTCTCGTAGACTCTTTTCTTCTCCTTTTGCATTTACATTTAAAACTAAAACTTTCTTTTTCTTAGAAAATCATAAAACATCTTAATCGCACTTAAACTCTTTTTCAAGATTATAAAACATAAACCAATCAAACGTGACATCTTTTTTTGAGGGAGTAACTCAAAACCGTTTTCACAAGGGTTCGTCACGCATGAAAAACACAAACAAACAAAAACATGTGAGTCAAACTACGACGCTCTGATTCCTCGAAAGGGATACGTAGGCAACAGGTCGCGGGACCTAACCGAGCAAAATTCGTAAATACTTACTTCTTTTTCCCGCATTTATTTTGCATGCATTCTTCCTCAGTAGTAACCAGTAAGAATAGATTAAACACACCCAAAAGATATATAACAAGAGTGGATACTATAGAGTACTACGGGTGTGTGGGGTGCTAATACCTTCCCCTCGCGTAACAGACTCTCTTACCCGATCTCTCGGTCGCAAGACCGTGACTTCTCCCTTCTCAGATTTTCTCGATGTTCACCTTTCCCTTCATGTGGGATAAAAGACGTTCGATGGTGACTTCATTGTTTGATGATTTTCAGCCGGTTGTTTCACCAGGACGAAATCAATTCTCGAATCGGCGTCAACAACAAAATTACTCTCAGCAGAAACAACAAAAGCAAAGGAAGCCAGAAAGAAAGTTGGATGCAATTCCTATGCCTTATAGTCAACTACTTCCTCTCCTGCTTCATTATCAATTGGTTGAGATAAGAGATTTTGTGCCTCCTCCAACATCACTCCCTTCAGGATACGATGCAAATGCAAGATACGAGTTCCACTCAGGGGGTTTCAAATGGGTGAGTTCCACTCAGAGGGTTTCAAATGGGTTTCAAGATGTTTCTTCATCAATCATGGTTGAATGCTACTTACCTATGCTTGTGGGATCAGATGAATCGTGGTTTGAGGTTACTATGACCATCATTGGGATTTGCTTGACTATTTGGGGGACAAAGCGGTTATTGTAGAACTCAAACAAAGATTGGAGGGTATATTCATGTGGATTTCTTGGAGTTTAAGTTGTAAGTATAAAAAAATAAAAGATACATCATGGTTCATCCAAAGGCAAAAATATAAACATCATGCTCATTATCCAAGCATCATTATTCCATTTTCAGAAGCAAAGAAAGAGGTCTTGAAAAATTTGTCATCTTATTCAATTATTCACAAGTGGAAAAGATCAACATATTCATTCATTCAATTGGTTCAAGACATTACAAAGGGTATAAGCCATGATCCATCATCGTGCCATCAATGAAAAAGAAAAGAAGATGCAATTTGGAAGACAAAACTGTTTTGAATATGTGAAGCTTCATTACTTGAATATAAAGAAGGCAGAAATAGCAAAATATGCCAAAACTTACAAAGAGTACAAAGGCATCTGACACTCATGTATCAAAAAACACTACAGTGGAAGAAAATTACATGAGATTTTTATCCTAATGCTATGCCTACTTTGTTCCGTTTTCAATCTTCTTTATTAGCCTTGCTTACATTAATGATTTAACCTAGTTCCATCTTCACGATTCCATATTTACATCTTTATGCTTCCATCTTCATGATTGACCTTTGCTTCCTTTTTCCAATCTTCATTCTCCATCTTCAAAGAAAACCTTCATGTCCAAACTTTCTAAACTTCATGACCAAAGTCCACTCAATTCTATCTTCATCCTTTCTCTGAACAACCAGGTTTCTCTTCAAACTGCCTTGCAAGAATCAAACTAAACAGTTCACTGTGCATGCATACAACACCTGCAAAATAAATCCAGAACAGATGCTAAACAAGACAAAATAACCCTGCATAGAGCATTCCAAACCAGTCCAAAGGTGACACAAAATAACAGTCCATACATTTTCAAATCCATGCAATATGCCACAATATTATTGGTTGGTTTGAGCTTAGCTTTAGCTCAAGACCATGATCATTTATATATACCAGCTCGGGTACACATTCATTATCCAATGGTCAGGAATTCTTAACATCTAACGTAACTAACTGCTAACAGAAATTTCACTAGCAATTACTAACAGAACTAACAGAAGTTAATAGCTCTAACTGCTTAAAATCTAACCATCTGTTTTGTAACTAACTTCTCCAAATATAATGGATGAGAAGCTCTTTCTTCAACCTATTTAAGTCCAGCTTCCCTCTCAAATCAGTTTACACGCACCATTTTTTCTTTTATCAGTTTCACACGTTCCACCATACATCATTATTCACCAGAAAAATTTCATAGAAAAATCTTCAATCTTCATCTTCCTCAATCTCTCTCTATGCTCAACCATATTCACCATTCTTCATATTTCTCTACTCTCTCTCATCACTTCCCTCAACCATCATCATCAGAATCATCATCCTCTGCAACTTCATCTTCCCATACACTTCCACCATCTCTGTACGCACACCTTCAACCTGCAACCTCTCTGCATCTAATCAACTTCATCCATCTTCTACAACCACTTCAACATCAATTATGGGCAACTAAACCTCCATCTTCCTTATCTCTTCTTCACCCTCTTCGCACAGATTCATCATTACATCTTCAACTTTCATCATCGACATGTGAATTCCAAATCTTCATCACATAATCACAACATCAACACATCACTGAACACGCACGTCAAAAACAACACCGCAACGACAACTCAGAAATCACGCAGAAGAAGAAGGAAGTATCGCAAGAAAACGATAGAATCGAAGACGTAATACCTCAAATATATTTTTAATCTCTGGTTTTCTGCTTCTCAGCGTCGCCATTGAAGATGCACCGGACCGGTCTCCAGTAGGTAAGCCTTGATGCTTCTTTCTTACAACCTTCTGCTTCGATCTTCATGTCTGTGCGTAGAGTAGAACATGTAGATTGATATTCCTAAGGATTTGTAATTGATTACTCTACGCGCCGCGTTAGATTTTTCTTTTAGCTTCTTAGGGTTTTCGTGTTCAATGGGTGGATTTAAAGACTTAGAAGGAGATTGAGCAGATGATGAGCAGAAACATGCTCGTTGGTGGCGGAACGACGATGAAGGGAGAACGGATGAGGCTAGGGTCATGATATGGTGGCGATGGAGATCGGAAAAGATTGAAGGTGGTGACTGAAGTTTGATCAGTGGATGAGATGAGAGGGAATAGTTTCACTGAGTTCCAAATCAAAGATGAAGAGTCACATTGTAATAAGCCCTAATTGCTACAAAACGACGTCGTCCCTCTCTATTTTCCTTTTTCAGTTACTTTTGTGTTTTTATTAATAATACATAATAAAACAAATATGAAATAATAAAAAACCTGATAAAAAAGATTGAGATGGACTGAAATTGCTTAGGCCCATTACGCCTTGTTTTTTAGAGAGCCTGATTTGCAATAGAATGGAAAATACCTTATTGGACTATTTTGCTGAGCCTTGGTGCCAATTTCTGGACTGCTCCTGCTGAATTTGCTTACACCCTCTATTGGTTGTTTTGATCTTTTTTAATAGATTCTTTCAATTTTCTTTCTATAGCATTTTCCTTTTTTCATAATTTTTGATGAAAATGTAATACAAAAAATAGTATAAATGCTCATTGATTTTAGGATTCCTCTTTAAAATTTTAATTAGAGTTTTTCTATTACTCTTTTTCATGTTTAGTAATTATTCTTGTTGCTATTTTTTGGCTAAGATTTTGTGGTAGAATTTTGAGGTGATCTTTTGTGATATAAGATGCTCAGGTATTAATTTGGTTGACTACAAGTGAGGCTTCTGACATCTTTTTACTTGTGTGGCTTTGAAGAGGCAATAAACTTTCTCTGTTAGGTACCACTTAGAGATCTTATCTCTGTTGCACGCGTCATGTTAGGTTTTTATTTCTTTGCCAGGATCATATAGAAATAGTTGCATCTGAGTCCCTCTGTCAAGGGAAATGTTTCTTGGCATAGCTTAGACATTGGTATTATTTTGGTGATGCTTGACGATTGGAAATAATTGTTGCTTGCTTATGTGATACCATGTTTCCTATAGGATTTTATCGTTTTCCTTTATTTATTTCCGATCGATGAGTCACTCAATTAGAATTGAGATCACGACTTCACTCTCAGTGCATGCTCCCTATAGAATTTTATTGCTTTCCTTTATTTATTATCGTATTTATTATCGATCGATGAGTCACTCAATTAGAATTGAGATCACGATTTCGCTCTCAGTTCATGTTCCCTATAGGATAGCTATCCTCACCCTTAGGTCTATTTCTGTATGCTAATACCAAGTATATTTTCCCTTTGTTAATCCAAATTTTAGGACCATGTTGTATGCTAACATTAGGACTCAAGGTTCCCCTAGATTTTATTCCTTTTGCATCCATCAAGACTAAAACTCTCTTTTTCCTTAAATCAAAAATTCAAAACACCTAATCATACTCAAACACTTTCAACAATAACAAAACAAAATGCCTTAAGGGCGTAACTCAAAACCGTTTCAAAAGGGTACGTCACCCATAAAAAAACACCAACAAACCAAAACATGTAAGCCGGACTACGACACTCTGACTTTCCCGTTGTACGAGGGAGTACGTAGGCACTAGGTCGCGGGGCATGGGCGAGCAAAACTTTGTAAATATTCCTTCTTTTCCTCGTATTTTCTTTCGCATGCATATCCTTTTAGCAGTAAGCTTTAAACATAGATTTTTTACACACTCTTATATTAGAGAAAACTTGAGTGGATCCTATGGAGTACCACAAACGTGTAGGGTGCTAATACCTTCCCCTCGCATAATCGACTTCCGTACCCTTTATCTTGATCGCAAGACCATCTTATCCATTTGTTTGAGATTCTCTCAATATCTTCCCTTCCTTCGAGATAAATAGAGTTCGGTGGCGACTATGTATTTTTTTGCGGTACGACAACTGAAAACTGAAATTCTTGGACCATAGGAAAAGGCAACCAAAGATAAAACTAGGTTGGCTCACTTGACTGAAGAGTTCTGGCATGATAGAGTGTATCAAAGATATAGAGAGTTCAAACAATTGTGATTGTGCCTCTAGACTGGATTGTGCCAGTTTTTGAAATAAGTCATTTGAGATGATTTTTGAGTTCTTTATGAGGTTGGTGATGTTAAAGGGTTATTACTAAAAGAATTTTCTCAGTCAAGTCCATTCGCATCACCTGAGGACAGATAATGATTCAAGTTTGGAGGTGTGTTAACCCATATTTTGTGAGTTAATACATACCTTAATATTTGTCTTTATTAGGTTTTAATTTGATTTTAATTGTTAATTTATTGCATTATTAGTTTGTTTTACAAGTTTAGCTTGGAGCATAATAGGTTCTCTCTTTTGTTGTTTTAATGTGTTTTTGTGTGAAGGTTAACATTGTTGAGTTGAGGCATGACTATAATACTTTACTACGTGAAGCACAATCTGAAGAAATAAGATGGACTTAGAGGAAAAGGGAAAACAAGAATGAATATGGTTGGCTTCAAGGAAAGCGTAAAAGGCAGATGGAAATGGAGGGAATCTTTGCTGAGAAAAAGAGGGAAAGTTATTTGAATGCAAAGGATAAGGTTCCATGGAACTAGAGAACAAAAGAAGGACAATCATACACTGTGCATACTGTTCAGCGCTGTCTGCGCCTCTGCCACAACAGTCTTCCAAAATACGCCTTGTCCCCCATCAATGTCTCCTTATACCCGATTTCTTGTTAGCTAAGAAGAAGAAATATAGTGTTGGCGCTAATTTCTACATGTGCTTGATGTGAATTCCTCATTTTTAGACCCATGATCCAATGCAACACAAACCCTAGCTCAAGTCTATAAATAAAACATTGAAGATTGCAGAAAAGAGTTCAGTATTTTGAAGAGATAATACAGAAGATACTAAGTGTGAGGAAAGTGGATAGTAGAAAGAGTTTTCTTCTTCTTACTCAATCGTGTATCTGTTGCTGAGCTTTGGCGTGATTGGAGTCACCTCTTGAAGATTATCCATCTCAAGAAATTCTCAAGTCTCTCTTAGGTTTATATCTCTTTTTTATTATTTATTTAAGGATGTTCCTTATGAGAACCATGCTTGTAGATTGTATTCAGTTCATTATTAGTTAAACCTTTTGTAGTTGAGCAATGTGAAGTTAATATTAAGTTATTTTTATATTATACGATGTGTGATTAAGTGACTTGTTTTATTATATGTTTACCTGTTATAAATCTATTTCTTTGAATAATCAACATAGGAGTAGATAACAACTTCTTGTTGTGAGAGATCCAACAACAAGTGATTTTCTTAATAAAAATGGTTGAACGAGTAGGATAGAGATATTCACCCACCTAGCTTGCTTAGAGATAAAGAGCGACAACTATTGAGGATTTCAGAATACAAATAGACGCATATTAGGGTTATAAGTAAGACTTAGAGATGTGTTCCCTTGCCCATTATATGCATGCTTTGATGTTGTAGAGATACACTGTAAGATCACTCTGACCTCACATGTCACGACACTGCACATCATCACATATATTTACTTCTAACATATTAATGGATCATGGCTCAACTCATTCACTCTTGATATATTTCCACTCTCTCTTTACATTGTTTATATTTGTTTTAAGTGAAATCTGAACACAACACACACATATCATTTTCCTCTTTGCTCATGCTTAAAACTCAAATATAGTTATTTATAAAATCAACCTAAGTAACTATATCACTCCCTATGAGTTCGACACTCTTATCTTTATCACTTGCTACAATCAAACATACATGTATACTTGCATGTGACACCTTTACCAAGGAGCTAATCACCCTTGAACCAGAAACAAAGTATAAACTGTGTAAACATAAATAGAAGATGCAACCACAAAATTTGTAAACAGAAACAATCGACATTTACACCATCATTGTTGAATATATATTACTTATGTGTTAAACCATATCAAGATTACATCGTTGATGACAATACATTAAAAAAAAAGTGTATCGATTACAATCTAAAATACATCAAAAGATGCATCATCGCATAAATCTATTACTGGTTCCTCTCTCGACTTTTCCTTATTTGATTCTCTTTCAAGCTCACTCTATTTGGTGAACTCTTTCATCCTTTTCAGAAAGTGATTCGGCCAAATTTCCGCCTATTTTGTAGAATGTGTCGTCTACTCCAATGATGTACTTGGTATATGACACCCAACTTTCAAATAAACCTCGACAAAATGTAGCAATTTTGAAAACCACCAAATACACATGATGCGTCCGGATGGATCTTGAGATGGGTCACTCCGAAGTGAAAACAATACATCTCCAGATCAATTTTTACCAAAAATAAAATGATTGTTTAATTTACGAAGGATGTAGTGATTTAAGAAGCGTCTAAAGATACATCTTCAAACGCACCTGAAAGTAATTTCGAATTTTCAATAGTTTAAGCCACACTCTATAAATAGAAAAAGAAATTCACCACTACTAATTCCAAAACATCAGATATTAGACTTTAACTTTTCAATAAAATATGAAAACTTCACTGTAATGTAAAAACCTTTGTTTTTCTTGTGCATTAAATTAAACTTTAACAATCACTTTTATTTTTATTATTTAATTCTACATTTTAATCACCTTTTCATTTGTTAGTATTCTATTTCTATATTTTTGTTTTCTTATTTGTTTTTTCATATACTATGTTAAGAAAATAAAATCATATTTTATTATTACCCATCTAATCTCAATCGAACTCAGTCAAATTTTAATAAAATCTTAATTTTAATTGGATTATGATCGGACTTCCATTAAAGTTTTATCGGATCTTTATTTATACTGATTGAGTTTAAATAAATTTTAATTTCATACATAGTACAATATTCAATTGCATCCAAAAAGCTAAATCTTTGAAAATTATGAGTATTTTTGACTTTTCTCTAAAAGTTTAAAAAAACCTATAAGAATAAGAAAAAAATGTCTTTCAATTAATCTCTATCTCACACATGGGCCAATTAAACCAAATCCACTATTTTATTTCCTTTTTTCTTTTCTTTAATTGGTGTAAGTTCCAGTTATGAGTGAAAAAAATAAATTATGAGTGAATTAAACCAACAAATGGCAGTAACAATAAGCAAGTTAACTGCTTAAAATTGGGGAAATGGGTATCAGAGATTTGAGTTATAGGGACTCAATAAACGCTCAAGAAATGAAGTTAAAATTCTTTGATTCATTTACAAGTTATGATGTCAAATGAAAACATTGTAAAAATCTATTATTTTATAAGCTTTTTATCTTTCTTTGTTTTAAGTTTTTCTTTTTGAAAAGGTGTTTTAACTTTGGTTTTAAATGATTTTTCCTATACTCTATTTTCCCTTTGTTAGATTTTTGGTACGGGAGAAGGACAAAAAATTCATAAATCAGGACACACTATAATCATCTTTTGCTTGTGAAAGGTTTTTTAATGGATAATTGATTTTGGCCAAAATTAAAAATCTACTATAAAATTTTGGTTTGATTGAAATTAATTTTAGGTAGAAATCTTTCGGTCTTAAATACAAATAACTACTGATATTTTTTCATATATTTATTTGTGTTTAGGGGTGTACAATAAAACGAAAAACTAAATTACTATTTAAATTATTTCAAATTTAAAAATCCAATCCAATAATATATTATAAAACTGGTGGTCCATTTAATTAAATTATAAAAAAAAACTGGTAGCCATATTCTAAACCGATTTAGATTATTGGATTTCATATTTGGAATCAACACCGTCTCTTTCTCCCTTCTTCTAGCCGCATTTCTTTCTCCCTTCTCCCAACCGCACAACGAATTGAAGAAATTCAAAACTCTAATTCTAAATCCAACGAAATCGTCACCTCCAACTCCAGCACCATGTTCTACGCCACCTTCGTTATTCCAATACTCGTATGATCCTTCACAGCTCCAATTGCTTTCCGAATCGTTCTCGAAGCCATACTTTAAGAGTCTTTCTCCGATCTTCAACTTTCAATTGATTCAGTTAGTTACAAACTCACTCTGAACTGTTTGTTGAATAAATATGTTCTTTTTGTAAATGTCCTTTAACTGTTTGTTGAAATGTTTCTTCCAATTGCTTGTATATATTCCAATATTCTTTAGTAGTAGTAACTGTTTTTCAGTACATGTTTTAGCCTAGTATAATAGAAGAAACTAGCATTATAAGTTAGTATATTTGTTTAAAGCATTGGCAAAATATGTTGTTTTAGAGAGAACCAAAGATGTGACTAAGTTTACAAGTGTTTGAAATTTTGTACAATTTGCTGTGGTCTTGTTAATAGTTATTCTAGGATTGTTTCTGTTAGAATTAGGTCCTAATTAGTGTGTAATTTTCTTTTAAATCAGATGAATATTTTTTTTTTTATTAATGGACCTCTTTTTTTTGTTATAGAAGAACTTGCAGTATTATAAGTTTATAACTTTATAGGAAATTTTATTATATTTTATTTGGTATATATATATATATATATATATATATATATATATATATATATATATATATATATATATATATATATATATATATATATATATATATATATATATATATATATATATATATATATATATATATATATATATATATATATATATATATATATATATATATATATATATATATATATATATATATATATATATATATATATATATATATATATATATATATATATATATATATATATATATATATAACATCATGAGATTATTATAGAAAAATATGTTTATCTTGTTAGGAAGTTTTAATAAGGGTTAGTAAATTTGGTTAGTTTCTAGATCAGCTTCACCCTTAGCTCTTCATTCTCCCTTGACAAGATAATTGTTGTCTCATGAGTCTCTGCTTCTCTATGACTAGCAGCAGCAATAGCATCAACCATTGTCTTCAATTCTATTTGGTTGTTGATGTTAATTGATGGAGGTCAATTTGCTTCATTCCTTCTGTTGTTGTTTCACTTAGTTGAGATTTCTATTGTTCAAAATTTGCTTTAAATCATCAACGAGCCTGCAATAGAGAAACATACATATGCATAAACAGTGTGAAGGAAATGCACCAAAAATCACTTGAGTAACAGGCATGTGCAAAAACAGTGTGAAGGAAATGCACCAAAAACTTGTCATGTTTTGAATTGAGTTGAATGGACAAATAAGTTTAGAATGAAATTCACCCTCTCATTTAAGCTTAGTTTTGTCTCTAATTTATATTTTTCTAGATGAGCAATGGAGTTTCATACACTTAGGAGAGATGCCAATGGCTTAATTATATGATGTCATAGGACTTGGTAGAGTTTGAAAATTGAATTGATTGTTGGTGGCTGCAGTTAATGTTTTGTTTTCTTCCCAATTCCTTTGTTGATGTAGCATTTTTGGTTTATGGATACATGTTTCTTCTTGAATTGATGTTGAACATTTTATGTTGTGCTAGGTATGTGAATGAGTTGACAAAAAAGGGAAAAGGTGTTCCGACGAAAGACGATTGAAAGCATATCAACTTAATCATTCCATTCTTGAAGTTGTTTTATGATGCTACTGTACACATATCAGAGTCATCTTATTTGACAAACAAAATTTGTATGTTTGAGTTCCTGGATATTGGAAAGAGTATTGTGGATATGTGTGCATCTGAAGATGCATATCTACGTTTAGCAGCTCAAAAGATGAAGAAGATGTATGATAAGTATTAGGGATCTCATGAGAAGTTTAACATGATGTTGTTGATTGCTCTAGCTTTCGACCCTAAACGCGAGATTAGATTGGTTGATTGGATGGTACGACGATATTGTGATAAAATAATTCAATGGTGTGGTGAACACATGCTTACATAAAATTGAGAATGTATATTCGATTGACTTGATTGTTAATTATTTAATTATAACATTATGACCAACTCAATGGTGTGGTGAGCACATACTTATTTAAAATTAAATGTTTTCAAAATAAAATTGTCAATGACCATAAATTTTGAGAAATCACTTTAGTATATCTTAAGATCATATCACATATCATATGTTTTAAAATTGTGAATGACCATAAATTTTGAGAAATGATCAATTTTTTTAAAATAATTGTTTTTAACATAAAATAATTTTAAAACTTTTTAAAATAAAATAAATATTTTTGATATAAAACTGTTTTATTTTTAAATTCGCTTTAAAACTGTTTATTTTTATAAAACAGGTTTTGAAACTAGTTTTTATTTTTAAAACTGGTTTTGAACTGTTTTTTTTTATAAAATTGATTTTGAACTTGGTTTTTTAAAGAAAAATAAAAACTGATTTTTGAAAAAATCAGTTTAAAACTTTTAAAAAATATATATAATTTTTGTGAAAAACCAATTCAAAATTAAACCGATCTATATATAAACTGATTTTAAAAATATAAATCAGTTTTAATAAAGTAGTTTTAAAATCCAAACTAAATATATATAAAATTTAATTTGGTTTGATTATTGATCTATACACACCTTTATTTATTTATATGCTTTAAGTTTTTCCCACCATCGGCTGAAATTTCAATTTCTCATCTCCAATGTCAACATTTTATCTTCCATTGATATTAGTTATGTTTTGCACGTTACTATTACATCAGTTCTTAATTATAAGACAGTTGCTCATTTTCTTTTCAAAATATAACATTTATTTAAAAAAAAATTATATGCATTAATAATTTCTCTAAAAAATATTATAATAAATATAATAAAATACAATCAAAATATTCTATTAATTCTTTCTATTTATTTATATTTTTAAATTTAAATAAATCAATAAAATAAATCAAATATTTTAAGATGATAATAAAATTGTATATTCTAATTATATCGTTTAACGAAAATTATATACGTCACTCTCAAAAATATTACTCTAGTATTTATCATAAATAACAAACCCGTATTTAACAAAGATAGGTTGGTGAAATTTCGTTTATTTATAAAAAATTTAAATGATCAACTGTATTATCTATTTTTATTTAAATACAATTTTAATCCCTTCATTTTTTATTTTTAGTCTCTACATATGAGTGTCATTTTTAATGATGAAGTAGACTATTTCATAATACGACACATTTACATGCTATTATAAAATATTTATATTATTTAATAATATAATTTTTTATATTAAAAAAAATAGAAATAATTTTGTATTGGTCTGTAAAGGCAATAAAATTCATAGGCTTTAGTAGATTTATAACACATTTTAGTGGTGAGGACTTGCCTACGACGGCGAGAAGCTTTGTACAACGGTACTTTGAAATTATTTTATGTGATCTGCTCATGTGAGAAGAGAGGTCTTATTGATGACCGGTGATGCTTGATAGCAAGCGTATAATCGTCAACGGTAATGTGTTAGCACCGTAGTGAATATTGTGCTCTTTAGAGTGTACAAAATGTGTATTACGTGGAGTCTCTCTTCTCCGTGAGAGAAAATATATTTATAGAGGTCTCTAGAACCTAAGATTTTCTCAAAAAAGGCCACTACCCACTTAGTTAATAGTGGACAATTGAATTCATATTTTTAAGAGAGTTGTTGATCAGTTAATGACCTTGACTTTCTCTCTGCCCGAGAAACGTATTCTCCTCACATTTCCCATGTAGGGGTGAGGGAAGACTGTGGGACGAGGGAATACCTTCTTTTGGGTAAGCTTTTATCGTTACCTCTTCCAGAGCGGTCCAAGAGCATCGCCCTAGGTGAGAGATTTTGCAAATATAACACTACAGATTTTAATTTAAAAATTAATTAAAAGAAATTTCACTCGTAATTTAAAATGATTTAAAATAATTAAAATAATTATAATCTTCGTCATCAACTTTCACTCAATTCCAACATCCGGAAAAAAAACCTTAGGGTTGCTTCATGATGAGTCCGTGTAAAACTTCATCTAGAAATGTATGAGAAGGAACCTGGGTAGGGTTGCTTCATGATGAGTCTGTGTAAAACTTCATCTAGAAATGTATGAGAAAGAACCTGGGTAGGGTTGCTTCAGCTGGTCGAGTAGATAATTGTCCTGTCTTGTTTCAGGAATTGATCTACAATCAAATTGTTCACAGGTAGTTGTCCTATCTTGTTTCAGGTATTAATCTGAAACTTGTTTTTTATTGGTCGTAGAGATAGTTATCTTGTCTGGTTTCAGGTATTAATCTCTGACCTTAGGAAGAAATATAATTTTCCTGGCTTGTTACAGGTATTAAGCTTCAATCTGCTCATGTAGATAGCTTTCCTGACTTGTTACATGTATTAATCTACAATCAGTCGTCCATATATAGTTTTCCTGGCTTGTTACAGGTATTAATCTAGAACTGTTGAAAATTGTTGATGATAGTTATCTGTTGATTGGTCTTTCCTTAAAAGGTAAAGAATTAGCTGCATGCAATGTCATGATGTATGAAATACATGGTGTAATGATGTTCTCAAAATAAATGAGATTGTGCTGTATGCATTTATCATGTGTGTAATATGATGCATGAAATGTGAAATGTTGTTGGAATGTATCTTTGTCTTGGAAAATAAATCCTTGACAAATGTTGGGGAATTTTGGGGAAATTAAATCCCAGACTGCCGTTGGGGATGAAGAGTGTGCCCCTCTCCAGACCTTGTTTTAGAATGCTTCCGCTGGGGATTCCCGTTTTTGTTGCTTTTAGGAGAACTCTGTTGGGGGCGTAGATTTTGCTTGAGGTAAACTCTGTAGGGAGTGTTGATTTCGACTTGGGGAAAAGAGTTCAGGAGCTTTAGCTGTCCGTTACTCTTCCGGAGAGCTATCTCTTGATGGAAGTTAACAACTTATTGAGGATAAAGGAGTTAACTGTTATCTGGTTGTCTCTCAGGCTTTGCAGCAACTTACTGGAGATTGTAGAAAAGTCTATTGGGGAAGAGGGGTTGTGGTCCCTTGATTTGTGATAGTCTGAGAGGAAAATTCAAGTTGGGGAATCTTACCGTTTTTGGGGAAATAAACTTTGTTGCCAATCTGTTGGAGAGGTGTTTTCTTTTGGCAGAATTCCTCGAGGATTCTTGAGATCAACTCAGTTGGGGAGAAGTTTTCAGAGATTGAAACTCTGGATGGAGATTGCCTGGATCCAACCTTGTGGAGATATCCATGAATTTGGCCTTGAGGGGTTTGTACCCTCATCCGTGAAGATTATGACTTCGTGGGGATAACCTTATAGAGATGACTGGGGATCACTTTATGAAAAGGACTTTGTGGAGATTTGTCACTGCCCCAAGTAGTAAGTGTTGTAGTACTGCCAGAAAATGTTTGCTTGACCGTACGTGACCCTTTGCTGGGGTTCATGTTTAATGTCCCAAGTGGTTCAAATGCAGACTTGTCCCTGGTTATTCAACACTCCTTAAGAGATTTTTTGGAATCTCGACTTGACTGCCCCCATATGAGTTAGACAGTGACATGTTGTGCCCCATTGCTTATATGAGATTTTGTCATTGGAAGTGTCATCCTATTTGAAGTGGTTCTGTTCATTGAGAGAGTTTTTGTTCACTAGATATTCGTCGTGTGAATTTCTCCGCTGTCAAACAATTAGCCACAACGATATTCAAATAATGCAAAGTTTATGCTTGTCTTGAAGTTTTGAAAATGTGTTTTAGAAGATAAAAGAATTTTTGTAAGAATGTGAATTCAACTCAGGATTTAGAGTAAGCCTTATAGGAGTCAAGATACCTTTGGTAATAGTATGCTTTCGAACTAACCCATGCTTCAATTAGGTCTTTTGAGGGGTTGTAGCATGGTCTAGTTTGCGCTTTAAGAAACAAAGGATAAGAGTCAAAGTGTATTTGTACCCGCCCATTCTCCATGATGTTCTTCAGTCCCTAAACTCAGTTAATTGTAAGTTTGAACTCCAATTGAGTCTGAAAGACGTGTTGGTGATGGTTCAAATAAGTTAAGTTTATCGAAAGACAGTCATTTTTGCAACGTTTTTCATGTTGTCGAGGATTTGTAGTGTCCTATTTTTTTATTTATTATCCCTGATTTTTGCCTGACTGTTCTTGTTTTGAGATTACAGCCAGCGGGATGCCTCAGTTTTTTCTTAAGTCTCCTTCGTAGGTTTTGACTTAGTGGGCTTTTCTTTTGAGAGATAATGACTGCCTATTTGATAGGGAACCATCGCCGTCTTTTTTTTTTATTCATAAGGAATTTTTTTGATGTCATTCGTTATGTACAAAGTGAAAGCTTGCGACTGAACGCGCACTTGAATCAACTAAGAGACTACCCTGCCCCAGGTTTTTTATTAAAGTTTCAATTTGTGTGAAAAAGAAAACTCCAACTTCTTAGACTCAAAGGGGTTGACTAGGGATTATCCTCCTTATAACTCCAGTGTTTATGAATTGAAATAACGTTTGTATATCATCAGCAAGGTCTGTCCAAAAGCATAATGTATGAGATTATGGCATTGTTTTCGTCATCCTCCCTCTAAAGGCTTGTAACTTTTAGCAAGAGTTGAATGTCATAAAGAGAGTAAAAAGCATAACTTAAATATAGTGAAAACAAATGGATGAATTCAAGACAAACATATGTGATGCATTAATGAAACTGAGTTTAACATTAGTAGATAAGTGTTTGAATAACAAAAGAAATTACAATTGAAAATTCCAAATGAACTGGAATGCTCAGTGATTTGGCATGAGAGCAGTGATCACGTTGGGAGTCTCTGGAGGATCGAACTCGATCTCCTTGGCATCAA